CTTTTCATAAACACCTCTCATCCCTATACTCAGCACCTAACCCGACGCACGCAGAGGAAACTGATCGTTTTTTGGAAGGTATTGCCCTCTCCTCCCTTTTGCCAAAACAATTGGCGGCCCTGGAAGATCCGATCACAGAACACGAAGTTCTATTTGCCATCACCTCACTCTCCAAAGGGAAGAGACCAGGTCCGGATGGTTTCACAGTGGCCTATTACAACACCTTTAAAGACCAACTTGTGCCCCTTCTAGCCGCCTCTTTCAACTGCGTTCGATCAGGTGCAACTCTGAACTGAGACTCCCTCTTTGCGTCCATCTGCATGATACCCAAACCAAACACAGATCACTCTGAATGCTCCAATTTCAGACCTATATCTTTATTGAATGTGGATGTGAAGCTGCTCGCAAAGGTCTTGGCAAACAGACTGAAACTAGTGATTTGGCAATTAGTTGCGCAGGATCAGGTCAGTTTTATACCCAGCAGGCAAGCCAGTGACAATGTTCCTCGGCTTACCCTGCTCACACATATTGCCCAAGCACAACGCATCCCTGCTATGCTCTTGTCCTTGGACATCAAGAAAGCCTTCGATACAGTATCATGGCCCTATCTCTTCGCCGTTCTTAGGCGCTGGGGATTTGGCCACCACTTTCTCACTTAGATTACATCACTTTACAACAAACCCACAAACCGCTGTCAGCGCGTAGACCAATCAGATAGCAGGGGCGTGTCAGTCACGAGTTCCAGCGACGCCGCCTCCCTGCAGTCCGGTTGAAATTCTTGTGTGCGCGCTCTCACACCGCCCGGCAATGGGGAGTTTGACACGGCAGCTGGCTGTTGGTCGGAAACGCTGTGCGGAGGGGGCTGAGCTCAGCTGTGGGGCACAGAGAGGTGCAGGTCACCCACCTGGAGTGGAACAATGAGGGTGAGTGCGACCTAAACACGTGACCTGGAAGCAGGGGGAGGGGCTTATAAAGTGATCTCTCTGTCCTTAGTTGCTGTGTTTTTGTTGACAATTAACTGCCTCCTGTCACATGACTGTCACTCTTCCTATGGCTGTCACATGACTGTCACTCTTCCTATGGCTGTCACATGACTGTCACTCCTCCTATGGCTGTCACATGACCGTCACTCCTCCTATGGCTGTCACATGACAGTCATGACCATTTTTTTTTTACTTACCGCGCCGAGCGGCGCGTCACTGCTGCTCTGTTAAATCACGTTATATTCATTTTTTGGTGTAACTGTATTTTATTTTGAAGGCATGTTTAAATACAATTAAATTAAAATTATTAAATCAAAACAATCTAAAATATAAACAATCAACGTCCCCCCCTCAGCAGGCCGCGGTAAAATGATCAAACGTTGACTGGTCCGCGGCGATAAAAAGGTTGGGGAGCACTGTTTTAGAGGATGCCCAGACCCGGGAACCTTCTACCACATATGGTTTTTCACATACTCTCGTCTCTATTTCAGCAGTCCATGTGCAAGGATCCCACTTTTGTCCTCCTTAATTGTAAGCCAGCGGGTCTCCCGACTACCACTTTCAATGCCTCCATATCCTGACGGCGGCAAAACGAGAGATAGCCAAATCATGGTTGTCAAACACGCTCAGCATCTCCAGCCTCAAAAGGCACGTTAACTGGATAATGTCGCATGAGAAGCGGACTGCACAGGTGGAGAATACCATGCAGAAATTTGAAAAAGTATGGTCCCCTTGGATTGAGAAATCTATGCCCACTGACAACCAATCGCCGCCTCCTCACTTTGTAATGAGGATATCCTCTCACGCTCTTATACCATTTTGGTCCCCCCACCCACAGCCAGACTCTCCCCACCTTTCTCTTCTTACCCCTCTTTCCCCCCCACCTTACTATGCTCTCCTACGACCTTATCCCCCCGCACCCTCTAATCTACCGCTGTTAACATGTATCTCGGATCCTGAAAAGACCGGTCTAAGCACCAACTGGAGTTACTATACTCCCCTTACATATCTTTAACATTCCATGGCCATCAGGCCTTCCCGGCAGGCGCCAGTGCTATTTAGTGGCAAGGTATTCACCTGAAGTGTTCAATGAACCTACTGACGCATGCACATGCGAATGTTTACTAGACCTACCGGAAAGACTACCATTGTGGCCGGCGCCCAACTCTGAGATCCGATGTGGAAATGTGATATTGTTCTGTACATTGGAATTCTGTGCATATACCATGCTCCATCTTGTAACCCTGCTACATCTAAATCTTAAATAAAAATGTATTTAAAAAAAAAAACTAAGTTCAGATTATTTGCTTGGGACTAAGTGAATCCAGGACCTCTGCACCGCAAAGCATGCATGCTAACCATTTATTCATCATGCTGCCATGCAAATTGTGCAGATGTTGTCCCTGAATAAGCTGTTATCAGAGGTCTTGCAATCCATAATGTATTTTACAATACAAAGAATGTAGTGGAAAGACATGATTTGAGACCTTAGTCTTCTAGACATATAAGAAGCAGCGGAATGTTAAGATGCAATTGCCCATAACCAAAGTACTAGTGTTCTGTAAACTGAGCCTTTAAGATGGCTTTTCATCAGAACAAGAGTGCAGGGAATTGGAAAATCAAGAGTTAAGGACATTTGTCATAATGGAAGTATGGGGATTGCCATTGCTATCTTCCTTACACCCCATTCACACTGAGCGACATGGATATTGCACGTTTTTCCGCGGAATTTCGTGCTGAGCGGCTAGAGCTACCTTGCACGATATTGATTGCATATTTTATCGCGCTACGTAGCGTGTTTTTTGGGCGGGACTTCATCCCTGCTACATTGTGCTGTAACCAATCAACAGCAATCTTGATGTGACATCATTCTTTCCTTCCATTTTGCAGTACAAAAGTGACCCTTCAGTAGCGCAATATCGCCAGTAATGCGCGATTTTGCATGACACCATAGAGTCTATTGGAGCCGAATCGTGCGACATCCGAGGAAAAAAGGGTCACGTATGAGCGACAATCTTGAGTGTCGAGCTACAGGCAACATTGAGCTGTGAGATGTGAACAGCTCCATTGAAATGCATTGGACAAGCTACATAGAGCAATATCGCGCGGAAATATGCACGATTTCATGGCGGAAATCGCACGATAAACCGCTCAGTGTGAGCGGGGCCTTATAAAAATATTGATTGCCTGGTCACACCTGTCATCAGTATTTTGGAGTCACAAACGCAAAACAAGCTTGCAGTATAGGAGTTTCCGAAAAGTGAAAATCTTTCTCTATATGTTTAAGGATAATGGCTCACAAGTATTGAAGCCAAATCATCAGCATGACAACCAAGCAACTAGCACAATTAAAAAGAGAGCTCTGCAATGAAAAACTTTTCTCACGACATTTAACCCCTTCGTGAAGGGAGACATACACTGTACGTCCCGCCACAAAGGGACCAAATGACTCGTCACGTACACTGTACGTGACGAGTTATTTGCTGCATTAGAGGGCTGGTAACCGCTGAGAATCAGCGGTTACCATTCATTAATGGATGCCTCAGTATAGAGGCATTCATTAATGAAAGGGTTAACCTTTTTCAGACACCTGATACCTTAATATCGGGTGTCGGAGAGTCAAAGCAGAGCGGGCAAACATGCCGGCAAAAGCCGGCATTCTGACAGGTCGTATAGATCTAGAGATATCTCTCCAAGATCGTATACTGGCTTTTTCCCCCCCCTTTCACTTTCAGGTAGGGATGCACCGATACCACTTTTTTAAGGCCGAGTACGAGTACCGATACTTTTTTTCAAGTACTCGCCGATACCAATTACCGATACTTTTTCTTAAAGGGACAGGTCACATTTTTTCTAAAGCAATACAAAATCATGATTTTAGGTCAGTTTCTTAATATTATGAAGAACATGAACACTCTGTAGTGTGGCACAGCTATATCCAATTCTGCATACCTGGCTTGTTTGAAACAGCCTAATAATAACCAAAAATGTATTACTTTATCAAGCAGTAATAGTGAGATTAATTCACAATGACTAAGCCACTACATCTATAAAGCAGTGAATGTAACATTCACCAAACGTTCACTGAATGTCACATTAATTGCTTAACCCCTTCATGACTGAGGCCTTTTTTTCATTTTTTTGTACCCATGTTATATTCCACATTTTAGGTCTGAAAATTACTTAAAACCCCCCATCGTTGTTGCAGCCCTGCAGCAGACTCAGACATATATCCAACAGAGCCACTAAGCAGGTGACTTGCATACCTCTGGGGAACAGGAACCATGCCTTTACTGAGTGGGGTTGTTGCAGGTTACCCTCCATCTGGCTAGTCCTTATTCAAGCACTGGTATACCATGACTGACTGTTCCTGAATACGCTGAAAGCCACATACGAGTCCATGTCAAAGCAGTCCCGAAACATCCAGCGACTTCATTAGAAGCAGGGTTGGTGAAAGGGCAGTCGGGTTGAACACCGACACATTTTGTCTACCTACACATGGACTTTCTCAAGGTGCACTCTATGGGTGCTGGCAGCAGATTTATGGATGCATGTGTGGGAATGAATGGGTTTGGTTGGATGACAACGTTGTCATTTATTTTAACTCACATTGGGAATTTTCTTTTTTGAAAGGTATTCAAAATCACAGGTTTTGGATTTTGAAATCAATAAAAGGATATTGTACTTTCATGGTTGATCTAAGAGCTCTTTCTGTGATCTGCTTTACATTTGTGGAACTACACACTACAGATTGGAGCTCTGTTTAACTGGCATTTTTATAAAATGGATATGCTTACTCTGGTATGCAAGTAGAGTCTTTTTTAAGGCTAATGTGGCTATCAGTATGCTTTGAGAATGAGGGTCTAGCACACTCTATTTGTGTTAGAATGGTAGAAACTGATATCAGTACAGGCATGGAGAGGAAACTGAGGGTCTGTTAAATTAGTTGCTGTCTGACTGACTAATGGAAATATAGTTCTGTCTCGCATCTTTACACTGTCTTCTTTTTCTTTCCAGTTGCTTCAAGGTTCTTCACCTATCCTGCTTGCAGGGAGTCCTGAGGCTTTGATGTACAGAGAGACACAGGAGAATGCAGTGCCTGTGTGCCTAGATAATCCATCATCGGTAAGCCCCCATCCCTTCCTCCTACCAGATTCCATTGTACTTGGTATAGACAAAGTTAGGATTCTGCAGCTTGCATATATTAATTTGGTTTGTAGGTTTAGCCTTATGTGAAGGGAAAACCCCAGAGCATCACTATTTATTTATATAGCACTGCTATATAATGTTAAACATCCTTGCGTCCTAAGCAACATTTAATTTCACTCTGATTTAGCTCACCTGGTGTTCTAGGGCCTGGGTGTGCCAGGTGCAATTGGAGCTGAATGAGCAAGCACATATATTGTACTATAATGTACTGTGAAAGCAGCTTTACATATATTTCAGACAATACAATAGCAATCCTACCTGTCTGCTAAAGCATATAGGACTTATCTTTAGTAAAAATAAATAAATAATTTCACGATACTAGGTATCTAATAGGTCAGCATTTTTAATAAATTTGTGCTAAGTCATTCATTTTCCTTTTGTTATTTTGGTATAGGCTAGAAGATTAAACTGACATGTTTGGGTGCTATAGACACCACCTACCACATTTCCTTTTATCTTAATTTGTAAGTTTTTAATGTTGCTCCAAAACAGTTATAGGTCAAGCCAAGGTTATTTTTTTTTGTTAGCTTTGGAGGCACATCAGCAGGCTTCAAGCAAACTTGTAATTTATTACAAAACATTGAAGCAGTGAGGTCATTCAAATAGACCTCATTCAAATGTTCCTGGTTTCTGAGTAAATTTATGTGTATGTATGTGTAATTTTAGGGCCCTCTCGAGTCGTATATGGTTTCATTATGTTTACATATTATTTTGCCAGCATTTGGCTGTCAGGCCATGAAGTACTAGGTGTGACAAACAGCTATTACTTTCGAATGTGAATTTTACGGGAGAAAGTCAAAGAAAGTAAAGTTAGTTCTGCCAACTGATTTCACAATTTGTTTCTACCTCTATTTTTCCCCTGGTGCCTATTCTTTATGTCATATCTCTTCTTCAACCGCTTCTCAGAAATTGCCACGATATTGTGAGTAGATTAAGGCTGGAGACCCAAATGGACTGTTTTTAGTCGAGGTAGTTTCTGCTAAAGTCAAAACTTGCCTGCTTCATGCTGCCTCATTCACATTCTTAAAGTGTTCTGTTGGAGGTGTGAGGGAGAAGCAAAATTTGAGACTACAGGAAGTGTTGGAGCTTTGTTGTTCAGAACAGAATAGGATTCAGATTTAGGCCTGGTTCACACCTGGGCGTTTTACAGCGCGTTCCTATGCTCTGTAAAACGCTCAACATGTGAAAACCAATGATTGCCTATGGGCATGGTTCCCACCTGGAGCTTCAGGAGCTTCTTTTGGGCATATTTGCCGCACGTATCCATTGGGATACAGCCGGATAGCCCTCGGAAACACGCTTTTGTCACTTGCGGCACGAAACGCGCGACAAACGTGCATATTCGATACGCCTAAACTGCTATTTTTAAACCCTTTTTATTGCTCTCAAAACATTTGTACAAAATCACAAGTGTACAAGTGTCCTTAAACGTCTATATTTATAAAACTGTCAAGTTAAGTATCTGTTAGCAACCAGTAATTTTCCAGCTCTCCAAGACTTTGTTCACATATCTGCATTGAAAACCACAGATCAAACTGTGGAAACAATCACTGCATGTGATAGTTGGTGACTTCCATATCTTTGCTCCCCTATTCAACCACTTTCTTATTTTTTGAAAAATTGAGAAAAAAACCAAGTCAAACAGGAAATACTCTCAGAAAAAATCAGCATGTATTGAGGTGACGTTCTTAAAACGATGCATGTTTGATTCTAAAAAGCAAAATCTAAAGTTCTAAACTTGCTGATATCATTACCACCTAAATGGATAATGAGCACATTTGGGGTTGGCCAATACTGAAATAACCTGGATAAAATAAGATGTATCTTTCATTGAAGGACACAGCTTAGAGATTTGCTGGTGACCAACTCCCCCCCCAACACACACCTGCTGACCAGCCTCCAGTTTTTTGCCTAGGGTCAGAGCTAAGGACCTGCAAATCTTTCCTGGTATTTTTGTTCTACGTTTTTGGTGAATCTTCAAGCAAGAGTCGGCTGGGCGACATGCTGGATGTTCTATAGATTCTTTTAGTCTTACCCAGCCAGGCATCTAGCACATGCAGGCTCTCTCCATGGCAGGGTTGGCTGCGACTGCTCTAGATCCCTAGAGTGGCTTGTGGGAGAATTCCCGCTGTGCATATGACTGGGGGTCTCGGCTGCCCAGTCATAGTACCGCACACAGGCTGGCAGCACCCGGGCTACAGCCGGTGGTGGTCTGCGTCCCTTTGCTCTCAGCCTCATATGCGGCTGCGTTCTCTCTTTTGTGCCTAGAGACCGCTACTCTAGTCCGTGACTGCCCTCTTCCAGGCAGTAGAAAGGCATCATGGCACACTCACAAGTCAGCATGTAAAAAAACTTGTCTCACCACTAAGGTGAATAACAGGGACTGCACGAATGCTGGGTATGTCGCTTTTCTTTGAGGCCTTTTCATCTGCCATGGATAGCTTTATGTTCCACATAGAGCATGCCCTGTCGCAGAGGTCCACCAAGAAGCACACACTTTTGCTGCCTTCCCCTGCTCCCTTGGAAGAGTGGGGGATAGAGGATGAGACCTTGGCGCCGTTGGACCTGCTGGCCTTGGGGATTCCTTGCAGGATTAGTCTGGCAAGGATGATGAGCCATCAGCTTCACTCATTGTTCAGGAGTAAGAGTTGGTTTCTGCGCCTATTAACTCAGTCAGGGAAATGTTAAAAATTGAGGATGCTTCTAGTTCCTCGGGGGCTCCTCTGGTTTTTTTGACACACATGAGCTTCGCCAATCGGCTAAAGTTTTTCCATGCATTTCTTTCTTTTATGATCTTATGTACCAAATCCTTTTATGTACCTAAGCATTTTTCGGTCTGATACCCCTCTGAGGAGTTGTTCCTACAGAACTCACCTCCAGTGGTGAACCCACCAGTTTTGCGTCTTAAAGCTACGATTATTCCTGTGGAGGACTCTTCTTCTTTCAGGGATCCTACTGATAGGAAAGCAGAGGCTACATCGAGGATCATGTCCATCGTCACTGGAATCCTCTGCCGCTCGGCCACACACACCCCCCTTCTCCATGGGAGAAGCAGAGCGGCTCAGCTTCTCCCATGGATCCCCCCCTCCTCTCCCGGGCAGAGGCAGCGGGGGATCCGACACAAAGCACTTCAGCCGCGGGGTGGGGGGCGGAGCCTCTGTCACAGAACTAAGGACGAGCGGTGAGGGGAGAGAGAGGCGCCGGCTGTCAGATCCAGACAGAGCGTCTCTCTCTCCTCAACATTCGGCATTAGTTCTGTGACAGCGGCTCCGCCCTCCCCCGCCGCCGGTTCCTTCACTTCTTCTCGGATCCCCGCTGCATACAGATGGGGAGAGCAGCGGGGATACAGAGAAGCCCCACCGGCGGGAGTAGAGGATCGACCTTATGGGCACCCCTGCCCTAAACCCTTACTCAAGGCATCTGTCTGTACTAGAAATTCCCAGGAAAAGTCAGGAGCAACCAAAACTGGATGCTGACATAATGCTGCCTTAAGCTTCAGAAAAGCTTCCTCAGCCCCAGCACTGACTTCCTGCCTTTGGTCAGGTCAGTTAGTGGCGCAGCAATGGTGACAAAGCTGTGGACAAACCGCCGATAGTACCCGACTATGAAATGGCCAGAAATGCCCAGGCCTGTTTCTTTGTTAGGGGGCGTTGCCAATTCTGTATTGCTTCCACAATTTGTGGCTTTTGGTGTTTGCATTTCCGGGTTGTTCCACTTACGGGCAGTAATGGAAGGGCCCTCTACCCCCAAATCTGTAGGTTGTCTACAGTTATTGGTGTACTGACTCCATAGTTCAAAAGATAATGGGTAGTTCTGTTCCACTATAATGTCATGTACAAGATTTCTCACCACCCCCACCTCTTAGGTAACAGAGCCACAAGTAGAAGAAATTGACACCAGAATGAGAGGTTATTCTCCGGTGTCCCCATCAAAATATACCACCCGCAGAGTCTTACTTACCCGGCCGATTTTCCCAATCACCCGGGTATGCACAAGTGTGACCATACTTACCGAGTCTAACAAAGCCTTGGCAGGTAGGCGATTCACCCACACGTCACATTCAAACCGCCCTTCGGTCAAATCAAGATGGATAGTAAAAGGATAGAAGGATACTCTCTGGATGGTTACGCAAACCACGGGCTCCTCCTGGAGTGGGTACTGTGCCGGGGTATGACCCCAGGAGCGACACCGCCAGCACTGTAGATATCGCATTCTCCTGGTAAGGGCAGACCTCTGCTGAGATGAGGACGATAATTCTTGTGCCTCTTGAATGCTGGTTCCAGGGTTTAACAGAGCTTCCTTCCAAAGAGTTGAGGTTGGCTTTTGCTGTCCTTGGCGAACTGGTGCCCCAGCGACTGGCAGGCCTAAGCAGATCCTCTACAAACGTGTATCTGTCATCGGGCAGGGACCTCAGGTACCGGTAAAGCACAACCTGCTCCACTATTTGGGGTCCAGACAACACCTCTGGCTGCAGCCATTTCTTGACAAGCTGTATCAGGTCATGCATTTGGGACCTGGGTGGTTGGTCTGAGTGATACCTCCAGCAATGCACCCTTTGGGCCCGAACAGCCGTGGTCACCCCAAGTTGAGCCAAGATCTCTGCCTTCAGCCGCTCATAGCACTTGGCATCACCGGGTGGCAGGTCATAGTAGGCCTTTTGGGGATACCCAACGAGAAAAGGGGCTAGGAGGCCAGCCCACTGGTCTTGAGGTCATCCCCCTCTCTCTCTCAAATGTGGTTAGACAGGCTTCCACATCATCATTGGGAGTCAGTTTTTGCAAATAATGGCTGGCTCTCAGTTATCTGGTTGCTAGGGGCAACAGTCACTTGCTCATGTTCCTGAGCCAGGTGCCAAACTGCTTCCTGCAAGGCAGTCACCTGTGTCTGCATGGCTCGCTGCTAAGCTGGGCTACCAA